GAGAAGAGGGCTTTCAGGGAACAGCTGGATTTTTGTGGTGAGGCCTGAGGGAAGAACCTCAGCCCAGAGAGTTGGGAGGAGGCGCCATCTTCAAGGAAAAAGAGAAGCCCACTGGGGAAGAGTTGGATGGAGAATAAATTAGGAAGAGAAGGATTGCCTTGCTGCAGTGGGGGCCCACTTGAGATTAGCTGACAAATTTGCAGGGACCCAGCTGACAACATTTTGTGACTTCTTCCAGCTCTGTTCAATAGCAGTAGGAGTAGTGGGAGTCATTAAGGGTCAAGTACAGGACAAGGAATTTGAGAATATAATGTAGAATTAAACCAGTTCCCTTAAGGCTCAATATTGGAAAGGGAGGAGACTGTAATCAGAGAAGAGGTAATGGGAAAATGAGGGGGTGGAGGTCACAGGTTGAAGAAGAGGAAGGCAGAGGGGCAGAGCCAAAATGGCAGAGTAAAAGCAGTGACTTGCTTGAGCTCTCCCCCAAATCCCTCCAAATACCTATAAAAAATGGCTCTAAACAAATTCTAAAGCAGCAGAACCCACAAGAAGACAGAGTGAAACAAATTTCCAGCCCAAGACAGCCTGGATGGTTGATTGGAAAGGTATGTTGGGGAGAGGAGCACAGTTCAGCGTGGGCGCGCAGGCCGCAGCGACCCTGGAGCAGGCCTCAGAGGACTGAATTGCGGGCAGCTGTGGTGGTTTCCAGACTTCTCAACCCACAAACTCCAAAGACAACTTAGAAAGTCAGTAGGAAAAGTCTGTTTCTGCGGTGCTGAGAGAGAAGCACAGTGGGGTTCCAGCCCTGGGGTGGCGGCTGCCTCCTGAACTTCTGGCCCACAGCCTGAGGGGGAATCAAGTGGCTGATCAGAGGGGGATTGCAGTGATCTCTCTGCTGATGCAGGATTCTCTTGCTTTGCCCGTGCTTGGATCTGGGTCACAGTTCTGGGTGGCGGTCCTGGGGCGAGGAGGAGTGCTGGCATGGTGGAACTTGTAGTGGCTGTGGAGAGAAAACCCTCCTCACAGTTCCAAGACAGAAAAGAGTGCTCGGTAGACCAGAGCACAGGCCAGGAAAGGAGTAAACACCTCACCCTTGGTCATAGCACCTTGGAAGAACTGAAAATTTACAGGTTCCTAGAAGTATCTCTGAAAACAGTTACACAAAATCTCTGAAGCTTGGGACAGTACGTTCTCCACACTGGAAACAGACTCCTACCTTAACAAAGAGTTTATAACTCAAGTAATTGGCCAGGATCATGAGCAAGCAGCACAAAAAGAGTCAGACTATATTATCTTACTTTGGTGACAAAGAAGATCAAAACATACAACCAGAAGAAGACAACGAAGCCAAAGCTCCTACATCCAAAGCCTCCAAGAAAAATATGAATTGGTCCCAGGCCATGGAAGAGCCCAAAAAGGATTTTGAGAAGCAAGTAAGAGAAGTAGAGGAAAAACTGAGAGTGATGCTAAAGGAGACTCAAAAAAATACTGAAGAAAATAACACCTTAAAAAATAGCCTAACCCAAATGGCAAAAGAGGTCCAAAAAGCCAATGAGGAGAAGAATGCCCTAAAAAGCAAAACTGGTCAAATGGAAAATGAAGTTCAAAAGCTTACTGAAGAAAATACTTCCTTAAAAATCAGAATGGAGAAATTGGAAGCTAGTGACTTTATGAGAAATCAAGACACTGTAACACTAATCTAAAGGAATGAAAAAATAGAAGAAAATGTGAAATATCTCATCGGAAAAACAACTGACCTGGAAAATAGATCAAGGAGAGAGAACTTAAAAATTATTGGACTATCTGAAAGCCATGATCAAAAAAAGAGCCCAGACATCATCTTTCAAGAAATTATCAAGGAAAACTGCCCTGATATTTTAGAACCAGAGGGAAAAATAGAAATTGAAAGAATCCACCAATCACTTCCTGAAAGAGATCCACAAAGGAAAACTCCTAGGAATGTTGTAGCCAAATTCCAGAATTCCCAGGTCAAGGAGAAGATATTGCAAGCAGCCAGAAGGAAACAATTCAAGTATTGTGGAAACACAATCAGGATAACACAAGATTTAGCAGCTTCTACATTAAGGGTCCGGAGGGCATGGAGTATGATATTCTGGCGGACAAAGGAGTTTGGACTATGACCTAGAACCACCTACCCAGCAAAACTGAGTATAATCCTTCAGGTTAAAAAATGGTCATTCAACAAAATAGGGGACTTTCAAGCATTCCTGTGGAAAAGACCAGAGCTGAATAGAAAATTTGACCTTCAAATACAAGACTCAAGTGAAACATAGAAGAGGTAAACAGGAAAGAGAAATCATAAGAGACTTATTAAAGTTGAACTGTTTACATTCCTGCAGGGAAAGATGATATTTGTAACTCATGAGTCCTTTGTCAGTATTAGGGTAGTGGGAGGGAAAAAAAATTATATGTTATGTATAGCTAGATAGATAGAGGGCACAGGGTGAGTTGAAGATGAAGGGGTGATATCTGGAAAATAAAATTAAGGGGTGAGAGAGGATTATACTGGGAGAAGGAGAAAGGGAGAAGTAGAATGAAGTAAAATATCTCACATGAAACAGACAAGAAAAGGCTTTTACAGTGGAAGCGAAACGGGGGAAGGTGACAGGGAATGAGTGAATCTCATTCTCTTAGGATTTGGCTTAAGGAGGGAATAACATAAGGAGGGTATGGAAATCTATTTTACCCTACAGGAAAATAAGGGGGGAAGGGGACAAGAGAGCAGGGGGTTGATAGAGGGGAGGGCAGATTGGGGAAGGAGATAATCAAAAGCAAACACTTCTGAGGAGGGACAGGGTCAAAATGGAGAATAGAATAAATGGGGGGTAGGATAGGATGAAGGGAAATAAACTTAGTTTTTCACAACAGGACTACTGTGGAAGTGTTTTGCATGACTACACATCTATAACCTGTATCGAGATGCTTGCCTTTTCAATGAGGGTAGGTGGGGAGGGAGGAAGACAGAAAATTTGTAACCCAAAGTTTTAAAAACACATGTTAAAAATAAAAAAATTTTAAAAAGGAAAGAAAAAAAGAAGAGTAAGGCAGAGAAAGATAAATTAATAGGAGATTGCAGTTGGATAAAGGAAGTGAAACATTTGTGGATGGTGGTTAAGATCAAGGATGTGACTGTCTGTGTATAGCTGAGATGGGGTGGACAAGTAAGTAGCTCGTGGGAATTAAGGAGACTAAGGAATTGGGAGGTTTGGGGATGAGGGTCTTTGAAGGGTGGAGACTGAGCCAATGACCTGGGGATCAGTAATAGAAGGCACCCACATTCTACCACAATGGGTGATAGATTTGGACACTGTGAACCTCAAAGGAGAAAACATTGCTGAGTTATAGCAGTAGAGAGGAGTCTGGAAGTGGGCAATGAGAACTTCTGAGATCAATAAACATGAATGAAGTGACTATGAGGGGGTAGGAGAGGACTGGAAAGGGTGGGCAGGAATGAAATGTCATCTCAGCAAGAGCCAGTGAATGGAAGCGGCATAGAAAGAACTCTAAAATGAAGGGCAGTTAATCGGGGGGGGGGGGCAGGCTGATATGTCGTGCAACACTGGAGGGATGGGGTTGAGATGAATGAAGATGAGTGGGCAGCAGGGATTTGTGGGAGAGGGGTTTGCTCCTTGGCAGTCTGGGATTCAACTTCACAGGAATGGGGAGAGTAAGGGGATGGGAACCATTGGGGAAGGAGAACAGGCACAGGGTCTGTGGAAGGGAAGGGCTTCAACAATGGGGAGAATTCTTGCCTTAAGATCTCCGCCATTTTCTTTATGCCTGCTATAATGACACTGGATCCCTGGAAGGATGCCTGCACCCTCACAACCAGAATAGAGCAGTCTAACTTCCCATATCCGATCTTGCTGGCTTCTTGTTGCCAAGTCTTGTGGACTCTACTTGTGCATCACCTCTTGCACTCCAGTTTGAACCCTCAGTTCCTCACCCCTGGCCCATCACAGGAGCTTCCTAACTGCTAGACCCTTGCCCAAAGCCTTTCAGTCACCTTCAAAATCAGACAGAAACTCCTCTTTGGGACACTCAAATACTATCACAATCTAACTCCCACCTACTTTTCTATCTACTATACATTCCTCCCTCTCATCCACTCTTTGGTCCAGCCACCTCCTGTTCCATGTCTTTGCGCAGGCCATGCCTTACGCCTGGAATGCCCTCCTTCCTCACTTCCACCTCTTGAAATCCCTGGCTTCTGTGCAGGCTCAGCACAAGCTGCCCCTCCTCCATGAGGCTACCCTGTTCCTCCACAGCAAGCGCCTTCCTCCAACAGATGACCTCATAATTACTTTGCCACATGTTATCTCTCCCCAGTGCCCAGCATACCATAGGGGTCCTGAATGCCTGCTGAGTATCACCTTATCTTTTGAAGCTCAGACACAGCGTGCTGGTCCCTAGTCCCCCAGGTCGCCCCCACAGATAATCTATCCACACTGAACAATATAAAATGTTAGCTGCTGGGCTTTGGAGCCCCGGTATCATGCATTCTTCCCTACTTGACTTAAGCAAAGTTTAGGTTCATGATGAACAACGCTTCTCTTTTTTCACACTGGCAGGGACGCTCGGATGTTCTGGGTGCCAGATTTTAGGAAGGCATTGCTGCCTGAAGGTGTCTAAGGAGGGTGACCAGAATGCGGAGGGGGACTTGAAACCCAACTCTGAAAAGAGAATCAGTTGGAGCAACGGGAAGCCAAGGGTGGAGAAGGGGAGATGCAGGGGGAGGGGAATGATTGTCATCTTCTGCTTGGCCTCAAAGGGCAGGTCTAGGGACAAACGGTGGCAACCTGGGAGAGGCAGATTTAGGCTGGAGCTAAGGACGAGTTTAAAGGGAGAGGCCTGCCGGTGGGGCCGGGCTCCCACTCAGGTGGACTGGAGATGTTGCAGGTGAGCCTCCCCTGACCTCAGAGACCCTTCCTTGCTCATCTCCAGATGCCCATTCACAATGAAGACTCCCAAAAGCTCACTTCATAAAAAATAATAATTTATTGTCAACAAAGGGGTATGTACAAAGGGAAATAACTGGGGAAAGCAGGGGCTGGTGGGCAGGTGAAAAGCGGGCAGAGCTTGGAGTCTCCAGAGCTACTCCCCCCCCACCCCAGGGCTCCCCCTGCTCTGCTGCAGGGGGAGGGGAAAGAGGGGATGGGACTCCCTGTCAGGAGGGCCAGGAGGAGGTGGGGGGAGAGGAGACTCCCCCGAGGTAGTAGAGGGCTCCGGTGGGTCCCCCCTTGTGACCACCTCCTATATAAGGCACTGTGCCGGCGGGAAGCGGTGAAGCAGGAACAAGGAAGGGCGAACACAGTGGGTCTCCATCAACACTGAACCCTAGTGCAAGGACGGCGGCAGTCCGGCGGCCCGGGGGCAACCCAGACCCCAGACCCTTAGCAGCGTCCGATGGGAGCAGAAGCGGGCTCTCCCCCACCCCTGCTCAAGTGCTTGGTTCCATCAGCATCTTCTGACGGAGGGGCTGGTCTGCTGGGGAGGGGGAAGCTGGGGGAGGTGCAGTGAGGTCCCCCCTCCTCCACAGCAGCCTTCACACCCCATGCCCGGCCTCTGGCTGTTCCCGAGCGGCCACACCAGACTCTGCCAGCACGGCCTGCCAGCCTGGAGGGTCAGCGGCCCCCGCCACCGCCCGGTGTCCCTGGGGCGGCTTGGACCAGTCCTGAAGCAGGCTGACTGCAGGGGGCTCCTCCAGGCGCACACGGATCACCTGTAGGTCCAGCGTCCCTCGGAGCCCCGCGGAGGGAGCTGGGGAGGGATGAAGAGAGATGCATTAGAGCCGCGAGGTGGGAGGCATCCGCACCATAAGCGACACATTCAGAGTCTCTGCCACTACTACCTGTGCGAGTGGCGAGTGCCTTCGTGTCTCTGGGCCCCAGGCTCCCCATCTGTAAAATGCAGAAGCCAGACTTGATGATACTGAGGCCCCGTGAACGTTCCAGGCCTTGACCCCTCTACGCCCATCGGCCTCTCTCTTGAGGCTGGCCAAAGGGCCCCGATGCAGACTCCAGAATTCAGAGCTATCCCTCAGAAGCTCCTTGGGAGCCAACGTGGGCCACAGAAGGACGGACGGGGACCTCTCGGGCCCACCGAGCGGCCCCTTCTCCAACGTCCCCGACACGTGGCACTTCAGAGGAGGGAGACCCCACCACCTGGGGACGGCTCTCCTGGCTGGGACGCTTCTCGTCCAGGCCGGGCCTACCCTGTAGCTCCTGGTCCTGCCCTTCAACGGGCTCCCTAGCCCCTACCCAGGCTGGACCTCCACCAGAGGCCCCAGATGGCGGCCTGCCGCCCTCCTCTCAACACCCCCCAGCTGATCGACGGCCTTCCTAAAAGGTGGCTCCAGAACTGAGCAGGATCCAGGCGCGTGGGCTGGACAGGGCCGCAGGTGGTGGCACCATCACTCCCCTGGTCCTGTACACCGACACACCACTCAGCACACCCTGAGACCATGTTAGGATTTGGCTGCTACGTCACCCTGGCACTCTATGGCCCACGAGGGCCCCCGGGCCTTGCCCAGAGGAATGGCCTGGACCCCGTTATCTGAAGATTTCTTCTCTAGGCTGTATGTGATCCTCACGTGATATGGACCAAAGGCCCTTCCCCATCCTGGCATCCTTCTCTGGACATTCCCCGTTCATCGTTGTCTTCCTTGCTCAACTGGGGTGTGCCTGCTGGAATCAGACCAGGCCAGGGCACGGAGGGACTTTCCCAAGTGTCTTAGCCCAGAAGCCCACGGCTTCCTCCCACGTGCTCTAGGATCGCAGTCTCTCACTACACTTTGGAGGGTGAGGCTGGCCACAATGTCTCTTTTCTGGGAGCTCACCTACGTATCTGCTGCCCAATCACAGGCAAATTGCAAAGGGCAAGAGGGTCGCCAAAGAGAAAGGTTTGTGATGGTCCCATCCTCTGTCACATGGGATTAGGGTTCAATAAGCATTTCATAAAGGCCCGCCATGGGCCTGCGCTGGATTTGGAATCCTCCAGAATCCAGACGTCCAGCTTGGCCTAGGAGCCAGCTTTCTGAGACAGGAACCTGAGCTTTGATGCGGAGCCCAGTCCAGGCTGTCAGGGCTGCGGAGGGCTACAACCTTCCTCTGCAAGGATGCCCGCTCTGTGGTGGAGCTACGAAAGGGCCCTAGGGGGGAAGGGGAGGAGAGGAGGCAGGCCTGCCTGCCAGGGCCCTTCTCCTGCTGCCACCACCCCCTTCCCAATCCATCCCAGAGTCTGAGAGGCTTGCCAACGGCTCACCTGGGGAGGGACTCTGAGGCCTTTTGGGGCTCCCCTCGGCTGGCTCTCCTTCCTTCAACAAAGCCCTGTCCTGCGAGGCTTTCAGCTGACTGTGGGAGAAGAGCAGGAGGACAAAGCCCGGCGGGAAGCTGCCGTCCGTGAAGTGTCGGACTTCAGTGGGAGCCGAGAAGGGCTCTAAGGTGACATGTGGAAGGGGGAGGAACGCTGCGGAGGGACAGAGAACAACACGGGGGCTGCTTTCCTTAGGTCTGGACCCTGAAGAGGCTGGGCCGGCTGGTTTCTAAGGTTCCAGCTCTGAGGGCAACATCACCCCCATTATCCTTAACACCATCACCATCGTCACCACCCCCAGCACTACCACCACCACCACCACCATCACTAGCATCTATATATATATCACTTTGGGTTGGGCAAAATGCCTCCCAAAGATGAGCTCATCTTGATCTCCCTGGCAGAGCAGGAGGTGCTAGCATTATCCCCAGTTTACAGCTGAGCAAACAGAGGCAGACAGTGGTTATGTGACTTGCCCAGGGTCACCCAATTAGTGTCCCAGGCAGGATTTGAACTCGGGTCTTCCTAGTCCACTGCACCCCCTTGCTGCTTACATGCTATGCTCTATGATTTCAGCTGCCTTAGGTCCTTTTCCTCGGCAAGTGGACATTCCCCACCTAGTCTTACTCAGGTGATTTCCTGCCCATCATCATGCTTTATCATTCTAATTTCTCCCACTGATTTACAAGCCCCAACCCTCTTCTTTGTCCTCAACAAGGCCAAGGCTGCCATCCCCCAGTTCCTTCCCAAACCTTGGTAAACCAGTTCAATGCTATTCCACCCTCTTCTCTCAGGTTCTGTGGATCAAAGTTTGGCCCGGGATCACTCCCGCCACCCACTGCTGCTAAAGGAAGCCGGAGACCCTCACGACCCCTGCTTACTGGGTCCACTGCCAGGTTACATCAGGTCACCTGAACTGGGCCCTCACTGCTGCAAGGCAATCCTTTTCCTGAACCACTCCAGGGGACTGCCAATCCCACTCCCCACGGCAACTCTCCTAAAATTTTCATCCCTCTCGAAGCTCCTTCTCAGCCGAGAGCCTTGTTTCATGTTGTACTGAAAAAGCGAAGGCCATTTCTCCAGGACTTCCTGTCTCCCCTTGCCCAGATGCCTTCCTCCATAATCCTTATCTCTATCCATCCAGCCCTGACTTCTTTCTTCAGCTATCACCCAATGCCTTCTGGGCATCTCAAACTCAACATGTCCCTCCCCACCCCGACCAGCAGGCTTGACCCACTCACTCACACTCGGCCCCACATCCAACCTGTCTGTCACAGCCTGTCACTTTACCTTCAAAGCACCTCCCCTATACGTCCACTTCTCTGCTTCTCTCCACTCATACCAGCTCAAGACGACAAGAGGCACAGTGTCCCTACTCCCTAGTCCTCCTCCCGGGGAGGGCCTCTCAAATCCGCCCCGAGCCTTCCCTTCTCCTCCGTCTCTCCCCTCTGGCCCCAACCTCTGCAGTCCTCAGGCTCAGCCCTCCCTTACCTGGGCTCGGGGCCGAGGGTCTGGCCAGGGCCTTGGCCCTGGTGGAAGTCCGGCCCCTCCCCTTCTTCTTCTTGGGAGGGGTTTCCCCGGACAGCTCCCTACATCTCTGGTTCCGCGGCTTCTTGGTCCCTGTGTCGACGGCTGGGGGAGCTGCTGAGAAAGCAGCCTGCAGATGTGGCAGCGCCCGCCTGTCGGCCCCTGCGTCCCCTCCCGGGATGGCGGCCCTGCCCTGCCGCCCGCTGCCCTCTCCCGGGATCTCACCTGCAGGCTGCAGGGGCCGGAGCCCCCGGGGCCGGTTCCGACTTGACTGCAATTCAGGCTTTTCCTCGGAGTCCAAAAGCACCACGATCTCAGCTGGTGTCTCAGGAGGGCCTGGGGCAGAGAGGAGAGCTCCCTAAGCCGCCCTGACTCCCCCCAGCTCTGGCCCAGGCTCTCCCTCCCAGGCCGCGCCCTACCTGCGCTGGGGGGTGCGGGCTCCAGGGAGTCTAGTAAGGCCACGCCCTCGCTCCAGGCCTCAAGGATGTTGCTCTTCTCCCCGGGGCTCAGGCCCAGGGTATGGGGGTGCTGGCGAAGGATGTGCCTCCGGGCACTTCGGGCTGAAGGAGCGGGGAGCTCCTGGCCACACACCATGCACAGGGCCCGGCCGCTGCCGCCGGGGCTGTTCCCCACCAAGAACTCTTGCTGCCATGACTGTGGCGGCTCAGCTTCCTCGGTCACAGCGGTGCTGGTCTCGGGCTGGCACTGCCCAGGGAGGGGGCTGTTCTCAGGTTGTCCCACTAGGGAAGGGCAGAGCGGCGTGGCAGACAAGGGAGGAGACAGAAAGAAGGGAGCTGGCTGTGAGATGGGCCCCTTCCTCTTCGCCTCATCCTAATTGGCCCGCCCCTCACCGGCTCCTACACCCTCTCAGAGAGCACTCTCAAGGTCCTCCCCAACCCCGGGGGGCTTAATCCTGGAGTGGGGGTGGAGGCTTGGGTGGAGTGACTAAGGATGCTTATCACCAAAGCTGCCAGACTGTGCTCCAGCCCCATTCTCCCAGACCCCTCGAGGGGTGACTCTCTTCTCTCGGGGTTTTGGGGACACCCCTGCCCCAGTTCTCATCCTCCCTCTCTGACCGTTCCTTCTCTGTCTCCTTTGCAGGATCCTTCTCCAGGTGGTGCCCCCCCCGCCGCACTCGGTCTTGGACCCTCTTCTCCCCTCTTTCCATACTCATCGCCTTGGGGATCTCAGCATCTCCCCAGGTTCAGTGACCACCTGTGTGCAGATAATTCTCAGCCCTAACCTCTCTCCTCAGCCACATCTGGCATCTGTCACCACCTGCCCCTCATCCCACGGGCTTCCCAAGCTCCGTCACACAACCGCAGCAGGACCGGCCGTCTTCCCTCCATCTTGCACACTTCCATAGGGGAGAATGGGCACCGGGAGTCCCCCTCGAACCCTCACTCCCAATTCTCCCACACAGTTGGCCAGAAAGTTTTACCTTCACTGGTGCAGCCCCTCATCACCTCATGCCTGGACTGTGGTGCACCTCATTATATCCCTGCCTCGCGCCCCTTCTCCATCCACACTCCACCTGGCAGCCAAAGAGACCTCCTCACACCAAGCCTAACGCTCCTTGGGCCAGTCCCTGAAGCACGTGGGTGGGCCCTGACACATGTGGTCGGCGTTCCCCAGCTGTCCCCCTCCATAACCTCCATGACACTCCCTCTGGCGTCCCTCCACCACCTCACCAGGATCACTGCCTGCCCTAGTGCCCCCTGTTCTGACCGTGTCATCTCCCACCTTTGTGTCCTGAACGTTCCACATGTTTCTAGCGTGCACCTTCCAGATTCGGCTCAGGCACTGTTGACTATGGGAGGCCTTTCCTCATTGGTCCAGCCGTGAGTGCCTCCCCAAAAATTTAGCCCGTTTAATTCCGTGTGGACTCCTATCTATGTACACAGACAAGAGCTGCCCAGGATGGGCAGCAATCTGCACCAGCAGAGGGAATTCCTGAACCAAGGAGATCACAGATGCCAGGGGCTATCTCGCTTTGGCCTTGGAAGCCCCAATGCCCAGCACATAGTAGGTGCTTCCTGATACAGGGACTGATACACGTGAGTGTGTATGGAGGTGGGAGGGAAGAGACAACAGTCAATGATCTCCCTTCCTCCCCACATCTCTCCAAGCCCTCCATGTACCCAACTGTCTCCCGTCCCCAATTCTGGCCAGGCCTAGAGAAAGGGGTCTTTGGATTCTGAATGGCTGCCCCTGCAGCCTCTCTGTCCCAAAGTCTTCTAGGCTGCCAAAGTCCAGGAGTGTACCTTCATGGCATCTCCGTTCTTTCCCTCCCTGGCCTTCCATATCACCCCTATCAGCTTTAAAATGTCCTACAAGGGGCAGCTAGGTGGCACAGTGGATACAGCACCAGCCCTGAATTCAGAAGGACCTGAGTTCAAATCCAACCTCAGACACATAACACTTACTAGCTGTGTGACCCTGGGCAAGTCACTTAACCACATTGCTTAACCCTCCCCCCCAAAAATAAATAAAATAAAATGTCCTACAAAAGACTCCCACTGCTTATAGCCTACAAACTTACATAAAACTGCCTCTGCTCAAGTCTCAGTAGAGAGGTGCAGGGCTACTGGGACAGGATGGTGCATACACTGCCAGAAGACGTCCTTTTCATGGGCTTTACCTCCATTTTTGTTTGTTACAAGGGAGGGTCCGATGGAGGAAGGTACATTGGAAAACGAATGTATTATAAAAACAAAAGATACAAATCCCCATTTAAAGACCAGGTCTCTCTTTCCTGTTCTCAGTTCCCTGGGGGGCCAGCCAAAAGCCCCGGAGAGCGGCAGTGGGGATGGACGTGCCCTCCCAGGAACCATCGGTTCAAGGTGGACAACTCAGATATTCAGGCCTGAGAACAGGTCAGGGGACTGGAAGGCTTAAAAGGCCTATTACAAGAGTTCAGCCAGGGCCAGGGCATCCCCCAGGCGGGGGAGCAGCCTTCACCAGGCCCAAACAACCGCTGTCTGCATCGGACACCCACAATGGCGGGAGGAGAAGCCTGTGGATCTGCTCCCGTTCCTATCTCAGAGGTAAGGAAATAGAATATTTGCTCCAGGTACCTCCCTCCAAGCACTTGGGCACCAAGGCAGAAAGGAAGGGCAGGGAGCAGACCCTGCCCTCGGGGAAGGCCCACCCTCCAAGGCAATGACCCCCCCCCCAGAACAGGGGCTCGGCGCTTCTGACCCTCGCTCAGCCAGCGCGGGCAGCCCACCCTCTGCAGCCTTCCAGTCCGGGGAGCCCGGCCGGCCCACTGCCAGAAAACAAGGGAAAACTCAGCGTGGTCTGACTGGAATGGGCAGGTATGCCCCCCTGCTCCTCCACACTCAGCCCCAGGCCTGGCCTCCCACAGCACCGGGCAATTGAGGCTCTTTCCCCAGCTCAGCCCTCACCTGAATCAGGAGCCAGAGACTCCCTCTGCCAAAAGATTCCTATTTTATCACAGGCCAAAGACAGAGTACCTGAGCCCCAGGGACCTTGGCAAGGATGCCCATCTACACCTGCTCTGGGGGTGTGCAGCCATCCCAAAGACAGGCATGGGGGGAGGGGGGCGAAGCAGGAGGGAAAGACTAAGTGGAGGAGAAGGGGCAGGGAGAGGAGGCCAGGAGAGAGGTGAGCAGGAGGGGGGAGGGGAAGGAGGAGGGGGAAGGGAATGAAAGGGGAAGGAA